GTATAGGAGGATTAGGAGGAACTTGACGGAGGAACAAGGGGGAGAAGAAGGGGGGAAGTGGTGGGGGAAAGGGAGAGAGGCAAACCATGAGAGACTCTTGAATGCTGACAAAAACTGAGGACTGATGGATGTGGGGGGGAGGGGGGATGGGCATGGAGGAGGATACTTGTGGGGATGAGCACTGAGTGTTATGTGGAAACTAATTTGACAATAAATTATTTGTAAAAAATAAAATAAAATAAAATAAAATAAAATAAAATCTTTCCACTAAGGTCTTATCAACCTCTGCATTACCATGGCTTCCCTGCTGTGCAAGGCTGAGGGCTACAGAGAAACTATGAGCAGGAGATGGTCACAGGCTCCCTACAAGGCTCCACAGTTAGGGGACTCTTAGCCTGAAGTCATGCTAACAGTTACAGGGAAAATAAGAGGACTTACATGTGCAATGAGGGGGCAGCCTCCCAACAGGGAAAAGAAGATGTTCACATCTCACTTCTCCACCCAAAGATGACTAAACACCCTGAGTCTAGCAGAGAAGCTGGTCATCTGTCTACATGGCCCGGTTGTTGGGATTTAGTGACTCCATGGCACAGTCTTCCAGGCTCACACTTCCAATGAAAAATGTCAACTCTAGGTACCAACACTCATCAGTTACCAATCCATAGGTCTGCCTATGTCCAAATTGAGCCTGGAAGCCAAAGAATGCAGTATTTATAAAAACTGCTTTGGAGTCAATGTTACACCGGTTTGAACCCTGCCTCTGTCTCTACCAGCTATGTGATACCAACTAATTTCTTCGCTTCTCTGTGCCTTACTTTCCTTAGTTGTTGCATGTATTAAATGAGGATGTGACCCAAAGTGGCAGCTCAATAAATGCCAACCAGAAATAATTCAACAAGACAACTACATACACACCTGTGTGCACAAACACCCACTATGCTGACAGAATCCAATGACCATGGCCACCTCAGGACCAAGGAGTATCAAGACGACGTTGTGTTCCAACAGCTTCCTCCCCATTCTCCCACAAGTGTCTGTCACCACTTGTGGGACAGTGAAAGGACCAAGAGGAAACAATTTGTGAATGTGGGGGAAAGCCAGGCCAGAAGAACCAAGGGGTCCTGTCAAAGTTGGAGGTTCAGAAAATGTGTCAGCCAACTACAAAACACAAAACCACACATGCGTGGACACACTGCAGAAGGAGAAGGCTAGGGAGGGGAACAAGGAAGAAAAAGAGAATTGCTGGCATCTAAGCACTCTCTCTTTGCCACTATACCAGCACATGTTCACAAGCTGACCTGGGCCTTGGCCAAGTTCTTGGCTCTGGGTGAAGCAAAGCCTGAGCACATCCTTTAAGAAAGTGACCTCTTCAAAGGCTGGGGTGAGGAGCCCTTTCTATGCCTAGAAAGGGCTCCTTGAGAAAAAAAGAAAGAAAGTGAAGGATATGAAGGAAAAAGGGTTCATAGGAGGGGGAGTAGAGAAATAGGAGAGTAAAGGTTCAGCATCAAGAAGAGTCAGTAGGTTCAGAACTGGGACCACTGGGGAATGTCCTTCACAAAAATCATCATCTTAACAACTGAGCCTGTTTGTGTCAGAAACAGATTTTGGGGAGAAGTGAGAGTCTATGCAGGCTCCTAGAGCCTGGGGGTTAATAAAAGAACACAAGGTTTCCAAGAAATAGAGCACATGCTCATTGCCTTGTGGACTGAATGACTAACACAGCACAGGGGCCTGGCAGGTGGGCAATCAACAGGCCCTTGGTGCATTTCCAGACATGGGATGAACAGGAGACACAAAAACAGACGGTATTTGTTTGGGTATGGGGAAGAATGAGACACTTTACTGTAAGGGAAAGAGGGAGCCATGAGTGTATCTATTGATTAAAATGAGTAGACCCATTGGTTGGGCCACCCATGATCTTTTTCTGTCCTCGAGTAAAAATAAATATCAGTGAAGATTTCTTTCCAGCTAAACATAGTGAACTGAACATTCATGCCCATCTCTGCTCCCTCCCAAAATCCCATTAAATTAAGAGGATAACAAGGTGTGGCAGAGAAATTGAATGAAATCAGCACAATTATCTGCTGTCCAATTCTTTTTGTGTGTGTGTGATTTAAACACTTATTTTTATTTTTTATTTTTTTATTTTTTAATTTTTTTTACAAATAGTTTATTGTCAAATTAGTTTCCACATAACACTCAGTGCTCATCCCCACAAGTGTCCTCCTCCATGCCCATCCCCCCCTCCCCCCCACATCCATCAGTCCTCAGTTTTTGTCACCATTCAAGAGTCTCTCATGGTTTGCCTCTCTCCCTTTCCCCCACCATTTCCCTCCTTCTTCTCCCCCTTGTTCCTCCGTCAAGTTCCTCCTAATCCTCCTACACGTGCAAACATATGATATTTGTCCTTCTCTGCCTGACTTATTTCGCTCCCTGCTGTCCAATTCTTAAAAGAATCTGTCTTACAAGGATGAATGGTAGGAATTTTTCCATGAGAGCAGAGACTTGTTTAGTTTTCTATTACTTCTCTGGCACCTAGAAAACGTCCAGCATAGGATTCAAGCATTTGGTGAACAAGTATACTCCTCAACAAAGTAGTGCTATGTAATCTCACAGTCTATGCCTAGTACAGACTTTACTACTCTTAATTCTGTATTAATTAGTACTTTTTAGATGTTTTCTAATGTCTGTGAGATTACAAGGTGAATAAAATTCAGAACTGGGGAGCCTGGGTAGCTCAGTCAGTTGAGTGTCTGACTTCGGTTCAGGTCATGATCTCGGGGTCTATGGATTCGAGTCCCACATTGGGCTCTATGCTAACAGCTCACAGCCTGGGACTTGCTTCAGATTCTGTGTCTCCCTCTGTCTCTGCCCGTCCGCTGCTCAGATTCTCCCTCCCTCCCTCTCTCTCTCACAAAAATAAATAAACATATAAAAATTTTTAATAAAAAAATCCAGCCTGAAAAAGGCAATTATTAACTGCTTTTCTCATAAAAACAAAAGAAAACCTCATTATAATTGGTCATTCAACTCGGTTGTAGAAGTGGTACTTGGAGAATAGAGCAGGAAAAAGCATGTATACATGAGGGAAAGTCTATGAAAGTTTAATCCTGTACTTCTGTGAAAAGTCAACAGATAATATCCAAACTAATAAATCCAAAACAGTGACACACTTTACACTTAGATAAATGGAGGTAACAAGTAGATGTAGCAGCTTTTAGCAGAATCAGAACCTGCCCTTTAATTCTGTCAGAACTGAAGGTTGAGTGGAGTAGAGAGTAGACCTGGTGTGGGAAGGCAGAGCAGGGAGACTCCAAGTAGCTCTGCAGTAGTATCTGACTTCTAAAACCATATCCATCGGACACTTTGATTAAGAAAGAAATTTTTAGGGTGCCTGGGTGGCTCAGCTGGTTAAGTGTCCGACTCTTCATTTCGGTTCAGGTTGTGATCTCATGGTTTGTGAGTCTGAGTCCCACATCGGGCTCCCTGCTGATAGTGCAAAACCTGCTTGGGATCCTCCTTTTCTCCCTCTGTTTCTGCCCTCCCCTGCTCATGCTCTCTCTCTCTCTCTCTCTCTCTCTCAAAACGAATAAAACTTAAGAAAGAAAGAGAGAGAGAGAGAGAAGGAAGGAAGGAAGGAAGGAAGGAAGGAAGGAAGGAAGGAAGGAAGGAAGGAAGGAAGGAAGGAAAGCAATTTTCTTGAACAATAATAAAAATGACTTCAGGACCTAGCTCAAATGACTCCTCCCTCCACAAAGTCTCAGATCTCCTTCCTCTTCTCTTGTGAAAATGACTGGCAATTAATCCTATTCCACTTGGTGATTGTCAGAACTCGCATTGTTAGGTATCCTTCCACCTGTCTTGTCGCCAAAGGACGACATTACAACCGCTTCACAGCAGAGTGCTCTTGACACCGTCTCTGAGGAGCCTGCCCCACAAGCTCGGGAGAGGTGCAGCGCCGGTTCCCCGTTACCTGCGTAGGCGTTGGCCTGCTGCAGAAGGTCAGTGCAGGTGTGCACATCGGCAAACGCGCGGATGCCCAAGCAATTGGTGGGATGCAACTGAGACTGCAGGAAATCACAGCAGTTCTGCCGAACGTCCATGAGCTGCAGCAAGCTGGCTGCTGGGAGCAGCACCTGGAGGAGAAGGTGACATTCTGAGACACCAGACCCCTCCGGCGGGGCCTCTTCTCACTAAAGCATCTTTCCAATTATATCACTCCCACGCTCACAAGGTCTTGCATGGCTCTCTCTCCTCTGCCTGTCCAACTAAGTCCAAACTTCCTTCAGGGCAGCTCCAGCCCTATTTCTCACTACTCTCCCTTGGTGGATCCTCGGCACCAGCAGATTCTTTAACCCTACATTCCACAGCAGTGCCTCCCAATGAGGAAGGAATATATGAAATATCTGGGGATCATATAAAAGCTCCAATTCAATAGGCCTAGGGTAGGGCCTGATAGCCTGCATTTCTAACAAACATCCAGGTGATACATGCAGCTGCTGGTCCAGCAACCATATACTTGGAGTAACAAGATGCTTATGGACTGAATGTTTGTGCCCTCTTCCCTCAAATTTGTAATGCTGAAAGCCTAACCCCAGCAGGACTGTATTTGGAAAACAGGGGCCTATGAAGAGGTGATAAAGGTTAAATGAAGCCATAATGGTGGGGCCTTTACAAGAAGACAGAGAGATACGAGAGCTCTCGCTCTCTCTACAACGTGAGGACACAGGGATAAAGCGACCTCATGAAAAGCCAGGAAGAGACTCTTTGGCAACTGAATCAGCTGGAACTCTGGTCCTGGACTTGTAATTTCCAAAACCAGGAGAAAGCAAAGTTCTGTTGTTTAAGCCACCCATTGTGTGGTATTCTGTTACAGCAGCCCAAGGAGACCAAGATAGATTGGTTCTCCTACTTGGCTACATACTGAATCACCTGGAGAATTTATTTAAATACTGATGCCTAGGTCTCACCACCAAAGATTTTAACTTAATGGGTATGAGATGTGTCCTGGACAGTGAGATGTTTCTAAAGCTCCCCAAGCGTGTTAATACACAGCCAAGTTTGAGAAAGCGCTTATCTACAGCTTTTAGCATATCATTTTCACTCAGAAAGGCACTGACTAAATTGTTCACTAGTACGTTCATTACTCAAGCATCTGTATGCCAGGTACTGGTCTAGGCTCTGGGGTTTAGTGGTAAGCACAATAAACCAGATCCCTGCTCTTGTGGAGCTAACAATCTACTGGAACAAAAGAGTGACCCTCAAATCCCTTGAGATTCAGGCAGTCACAGTATACTCTCTCATCCAACAGATAGATGGTAAAGAACATCTTTAGGTACATTCCCAGAGAAAGGAGAGAGGCGTTTCCTTTTAAAAGGTCACAGAACACATGAGTATTTACACTGTACCCTGGAAGACAGAAATAGTTCCTGCTCAGGTGTGTGTGCATGTGTTTTTCCTAAAAGCCAGGGAAGACTGGCTTGAGCAAGCCAGAGGGGTGTGCAGCCCGCCAACCCGTCTAGTTTCCCTAGGACTTTCCCACAGCTGCCAAAGCCTGCCCTCTAGATCAAATATACAGAAGAGACAGCATAGTCCTATTAGACTCCAGCCCTGCTCCCCTCCACCCCTATCCTTGGGAAAAGGTAGACAGTCTGAGAGTGACTTTCCAAAAAGAAATAAAATCATAGAGCATTATAGTTTCATTGAGGCTGCTTAGCTCAGGGTCCCCAGCAACCATTTCACCCCCCTAACAACCCCCATGTGTCCCAGGCCTTTGCTCTCAGCTGCTCCCCTGGCTCTCAGAGAGAGTGTCTAGGCCAGTCTCCAGCTGTTCTCATCCACAAGGGCTTGCCCAGGAAGACATGGGCTACAGATACATTTGTTTTCCTGATTTAGGACACTATAAAAGTCTTTTTTTTTTTTTTACAAGATTTAAATTCTAGACCCTGACCCCCCAAAACACATCTGAACACTCCATGCAATAAGGCCATAAACTCAGCCCCCCTGTCCATTCTTGGGCCTTGCTCGCCACTAGGGTAGCAGCTAAGTTTGCTTATGGACAAGGGGTTTCCCAGGACACAGGACTTTCAGTGCTAAAATTGAGATTGCCTTTCCTCATCCCTACCCATAGGCAGAAACCACCAACCTCGTCCTCTACCACCAGAGCTCCTACTACTGAGCTAAGTGCCTACTCTCCACAAGGCAAGCTCCTCCTCCCTATCAGCTTAACTTCTTCCCTCACACAGATGAGTTCCAGAATGTTCTAGAAAGCATGTCCTCTCCCTTCTTTCTTCCACTATCCTATGTCCCCAATGGTAAATTAACACCATGTCCTTTAGCGTGTTTTGAGTCAATGATTCATTCCAGAGAAGGAAAAAGATAAATTCACCCACTCTTGGGAGTTTTAGACCATAAGGCAGCTCCAAATGTGACCACCTGAGCCTCATCCCCATGATGCAGCCACCTAGTGGGTGGCCCCACTAAGCAGCCATAAACTGGGAACCACAATTAATCTGTGAGCTTGCTGAGCCTAGCCAAACAGATTCTAGGACCAGAGTAGTCACTGCCTGCTAGAAGTAGAGAACCATTAACCATTCTTGCTGAATACACAGCAGGAAAGGAAAGCTGTGTTTCAAATCCCCAAACGACCTCTATGGTAGCCCTGTGACCCAGCACTAGCTACAATCTATAGTTAGGGCCAAAGGTCGACAGGTCATTCTGGTTTGCTGAGACTTTGCCCATTTTTAGCACTGAAAGTTTTACGTCCCAGCAGACCCCTCAGTCCTGAGCAAGCTGGGATGGTTGATCACACTAGGGACCAGGAACTTCTTGCTGGAGAGGAATAATCAAATGTTGCCCAGCACACACTGTCCTCAGTGGTGGGGCAGGCCCCAAAAAGGTCAGGCTAAGAAGAGAGACAAAAGGGAGAGCAGCCTTTTAAGCTGCATAGAGAAGGATTTCTGAGGGTCCCATCTGCCCCTAGACTGCATTCCCAGCCAAGCCAAGATGACAGCATGCCAGGGACACACACACCCTTCCCCCTTGCCTTCTTTTTCACCACAAAGAGAGTGGCACAGTGTGATGCTTAAATTCTCAAGCCCATGACAACCAGTCAAAGAACTTAAATAATAAATCCTTCCTGAACATATTCCTTAGGTTATACTTTTAGTTTTTAAATCCCCTCTCCCCCCCACCCCCCCCAATAGAGCTAGCTACCCACATAGCTTTTCCCTACTGTTCACAAAACACACTCAGCAGGCAAAAATTGTCAGGCTTTCCACCTCTCTATACCACCCTCCCCATCCTGTTTAGGTCCACTCCTGCCCAAAAGCATTCCCAAGATGACTTCCCAAAGGGAACGGGGGCTTGTGGTTTCTCCAATTGCTCCTTCCCTCTCTTTGATCTTAGACTGTGGTTAGCTATGAGTCAAAGGGCCTTTTCTTTCACTACTTGCTTCATACAGGAAGGCGTAAAGAAAAGTAAAGGAAGTCAGAAGGCTAAGGGCAAGGTTTGGGGGAGATAAGTCATTGCTCAAACTGAGTCTCAGGTATAAACCGGGGTCCCATCCACGGGGATTCTGGGGGCTGCACATGATGGAAACAGACAAACATCCCCAAAGGCTGTGAAAGAAAAGAGAGCACAACATGCATAAGGTGGCTGTCCTCACTTCCCTCTCCCACATCAACAAGGGCTTTCTGAGGATTTCCTCCTCTCTTATCTCGTGTGCAATGCAACTCCCTGACTCCCTCAAGGGGCAGCAGCAACAGGCTGTGAACAAGAGGCCAAGCTTGGGTTCTCAGCTTGGTGGAATCACAAGGGCAGCACTGCTTGGCCCCTGGAAGGAAGAGCATGTAGGAGCCATTGGCTGGAACCACCACAGGGATGTAAAATGACTCCAGGTCAAAAAGCGTTTAGCTTGCTTCTTGCCACCCTGGTGTTAAAGGTTCTGGGAAAGCAGGCCCCAGGAAGACCCTCAGCAGAGAGTTTACAGGTTCCCCTCTAGCTTGCAAATGGCCCCCGGTCCATTTTTCACAAGCAGGCCCCGTTTTGTTTTTTCTCTCCCTCGGATAACATGAAAACACAGCAGAGGATATCCCGTCACTGAGTTTGTTTCCTCTAACAAAAACAAAAGGAAATGCCCTGCCTCAGAAAGCACCTACTCCTGGAATTTCAGGGAGGCAGGACTACGCACAGAGGGAGGGGGATCACTAACCAGAGGTGTCAGGTGACAGGCCGAGGCCGCAGCCACACAGTGGGTCTGTCTCTGCCAGCACCAGGCAAAGAGGCCTGGTACAGAAGCATAGTTAAGGGCCTCTGGGTGGCTCAGTCAGCTAAGTGTCCAACTTCAGCTCAGGTCACGGTCTCATGGTTCATGAGTTCGAGCCCTGCGTCTGTGCTGTGAGACAGAGCCCACTTTGGATTCTCTGTCCCCATCCTCTCAGGCCGCTCCCCCACTCATGCTCTTTGTCAAAAATAAACTTAGAAACATTGTTAAATAAAAATGTATTGAACAAAAAAAGAAAGTGGGGTAGGGGAGAGAGAAATTGAGAGAGCAAAGGAAGGAGGGAGGGAAGATGGGAGGGAGAGGGAAAGTGGTATGTAGATGATCAGGAGCACTAGCAAAATGGTGCTGTGATTAAAACTGTCACTTAGACTTCTGACTTCACTTACCAGCCATGTGACTAAAGGCAAATTACTGAACCTGTCTGTGCTCTGCCGCCTCAAGGGTAAAATAAAGATGATGACGGCACTGCCTTCGAGGTTTGTTGTGAGAATCCAATGAGACAAATACATTTAAAGCAGTCAACAGACAGCCTGGTGCATAGGGAGTGCTCAATTAAACTGTTTTTTATTATTATTAATTATCAGGAGCTGAAGTCAAGATTCTGATCATTCATTTAACAAGAAACTCAAGTTCCCCATGTCAATAGACCACAGTGAGATGGAGAGAGGTAGGTTCAAATCTTAACACTACCGCCTATTCAACCACTTAGAGCATTAGCTTCTTCGACCGTGAAAGAGGGATCATACTAGAATACTCACATTTGGTGGTGATGAAATGAAGTGAAATAATGCATGTGAAGTGACTGCCACATGCTTGGCTTTCAATGAGGATCACTAAGTGTCAGGTATGAAGGCTGTTACCTCCACCATAGAAAGGCTATTCAGTCTCTCCAGGGTTTGTGTGGCTGGGAAGGGATTAAGGGTTGAGCTCTGGGAGCCATTTAACCAAGCCCCAGTCTTTGACCGCTCTTTCTCAGTCTCTCAGGAGTGCCCCAGGGCCTCCATGCTCACCTCCTCAGTGCACTAAATCCTCAACAAAGGCTGTCTTCACAGTTTGTGAGCAAGTGCCTCAGCAGATACGTCACAGCATGAAGAAGCAGCCACATTTTGATCCAAACTTTCTCTTCTCAAGCTTTTTTGTTTTGATTTCCCCCAGATCACCCCAATCAAACCACACTGTAAAGGGAGGAGGAAAAATAGTATATCTCACGGATTTCAAGCAATGCACAGTTCCCTGAAGGTTCCACACTGTGCCTTCCACTGGAGCCCCTGCACATGCCCCGCTCCCCACCCCCACCTCCCATACACAAATGAACTCTCTAGCGGCTCATGCACCAATGGGGACACAGGCATGCGGGCAGAGGAGGAAGTCCTGACCACCCAGTACTCCTTCAAGATGTGGCCCACACAACATGTTCTCAGTGATGCTGTCCCCATGACCATCCTCATCAAGGCAGTGATGACCATTCCCTGCTTCCTGGGTACCTCCACCCTGGCCCTACCACACTGCAGAGTACCTATTTGCCTAGTCGTGCATCTCCAACCTCACACCATGTGCTCCTTAGTGACAGGGTCTCTGTGCTCACAGCACCCACAGTGCCCAAACTGTCTGCCTGGCATAGGGTAGCAATGTTCTAAGGCTTTATCTATATGAATTCATTTAATCCTCTCACTAACCCTATGAGATTAAACTGCTATTATGCCCATATTACAGATGAAAACACTGAGGCTCAAAAAGATGAAGTAAGCTGCCTAGTGTCTCACATCCAGAAAATGGTGGAGCCAGGATTTGAAGGCAGACAGTCTGACGAGTCAATAGAATAACTACTAATTATGAAAACTGATCCTTGAGGCAGGGTATCAGTGAGGGTGTCAGAGAGGCTCTAGTACAAGGGAGGGAACGCAAATCAGAAGTTGACAGAGTAAGTGTCTTCTCTGCCCAGAGCTGACTGGGTCCCATACCTTCACTTTACAGATGGGAAAAGAGACACCATGCTGGGGGACAGAGTGAGAACAAGAGCACTCATTCTTGACCAGTGGTGAAGCTAAGGCTCGGACATAGGCCCCCCTTCAGACCCAACTCCTGCCTCATCTCTACTTCTCCTTCTTTCTCTGAACCTGCACATCTTCATTCTGGCCTCCTGCCCTGCCCTATAACATAGTTTTACAGCAAGCAGTGGTGAAGCCACTTTCTATAGAGGACTCTAATGAGTCTATCTGCCTTTAGGAAATGGTGTTTACACACTATCACTGGGTTAGACCAAAGCTGCAAAGATAAATACCTAGCCAGATGATAAGGATTCAGAGTGGTACATCTACTTATCCAAGTTTATAAATACTTTGGACCTGATGGGGGTGGGGGGAGGAAGTTATTCAAAAAATACATGGTAAAAAGGGAAGAAAAAGCTGGTTCCATTCATACAATCTACAACCTCACCTACAGTGTTGTATTTGTTGGTTTGTTTTTTTGTTGTTGGGTTTTTTGTTTTTGTGTTTGTTTTTTCAGGGCAGGGAGGTATTTGGTGTTGTCTTAGTGGTTTAAAACAACACAAATTTATTTTCTTACACTTCTGGAAGTCAGAAGTCCCAAATGCATCTCTCTGGATTCAAACAAAGGTGTCAACAGGGTTGCATTCCTTCTGAAGGCTCTAAGGGAGAATATGTTTCCTTGCCTTTCCTGCTCCTAGAGGCTACCCACATTCCTTGGTTCATGGCACCCTGTCTTTAAAAATGGAAAGATCAGGCCGCCTGGGTGGTTCAGTTGGTTAAGTGTCCGACTTTGGCTCAGGGCATGATCTCACGGTTCGTGGGTTCGAGCCCCACGTCAGGCTCTGTGCTGACCGTCAGCTCAGTGCCTGGAGCCTGTTTCGGATTCTGTTTCTCCCCCTCTCTCTCTGACTCTCCCATGCTCACGCTGTCTCTCTCTCTCTTGCTCTCTCTCTCTCTCAGAAATAAATTAAATATTTAAAAAAAATTTTTTTAATGGAAACATTAAGTTGAGTTTTGTCAGGTCACATTGTCTCTGATTCTCTTTATTCTACCTCCATCTTCCACTTCAAAGAGCCCCTGTGACTATACTGGACCCACCCGGATAATCCAAGGTAATCTCCCCATTGCTTGTCTACTGATCAACAACATTAATTCCATATGCACAGTTAACTCCTCTATGACAGTTAGAACCTAACATATTCATAGGCTCCAGGAAAAAGGACATGGACATTTGGGGGGAGGGGCATTACTCTGTCTACTACACTATATGATTAATACTTACTGATATACCATAATGCATGATTTTTTAAAAAATTATTTACCCCCTGTACATTTTTCAGTTGACATCTAGCATTGTTCATTAGAGTTGCAAAAGATGTAATGTCTGGCATTTTGTAAATCTCAATATTTACATCACTTTTCAAAGTACCCAAGTGAATATAAATGTGATGGTGGTTTGATATCAACCATTTCACATGTTTTTTCAATACATGCACCATATATGGTTTTTTCAATATATGCACCATACTCATTTTGTAGCAAACTACTCTGCGCTCACTGTTACTGCTCAGAAGTCATTCAGCTGTTTCTATTCTGTTGCTAGACCTAAGATGTAAGCACTCCCTTGTCCATTTCCTTCTGGATGAAAAAGACCAGAAACAAACTGCAAATGCTGTGTGTTACAGGGCATAAAATATACCTCAATTTAAAAGGGGAAGGGGAGTAGACTAGATCAACCACGGAGCCCAATGAAGTGCCTGGCATATAAGTGGCACTCAAACATCTGTGTTGAATTGAATGAAAAAACAATGATTACCAATGCAGCCTTCCAAATACCATGATCCTCGTAAAGGAGGTAGTGTTCTGGAAAAGGGAAATAGGCATTTTGGTCACTGGAGAGGTATCTGCCTCACAATAAAGAAAGTGGAACTGTGATTTAAAAAAAAAGAAAAAAGAAAAATTCTTCAAATCACATGTACCTTCCAGCACTTTACTGAAATGGTAAGGCCCTTAATGATAAGAAGTAGTATGTCCTGTGTCTGTGTTTAGCCCAGGAGTTTGCAGGTCCCAGAGTGGGCCACACACCCTCAACCATCTCCCCTAGTGAAGCATGCTGGTGCTGCCTCATGTCCCCACCGTAAAGACGCACACCTTAGGGTGAAGCAGTGTCTTCGCTGGCTCCTCTTTTCAAGACTCCAGATGGCTGAGGATGAGGGCAGGGCAGCAAAAGGAGGAAAAGGCACACGCTTCACAGCCGCATGCCCCTGCTGAGACTCGGGCCTGGTGCTTGGCACCTCCATCTCCGAGCATGAGTGCTCAGAGAAACTCGGGTGACTAATGTTGAAACAGGAAAAATTTTTAACAGCCTCACAATCCACACTGAAAATTCTTGAGATGAGATGATGACTGGGGAAAAGAGGGTTCACCCAGGCTTTTGGTTCTTCCTGCATCTGGAGTTTGAACCACCATGAGTTAAAAGACTGCTCCAGGGCCCAAGCTCATTCAGAGGTATTATGGCTCAGCAGCTAAGAACATGGGTGCCACGGTCAGGCAGGCAGGGGTTTGAGGCTCATTCACCCACCTCCAGGCCCTGTGACACAGGGCAAGTCACCTAACCTCTTTGGACATTTAGTTTCCTCTCCAGCTACCAAGTGAGTTGTTGTGAGGGTTCAATGAAATGAAGCAATAATAGTGCATGATGAGCTATTAAGGTGGGGTTGAATTTACCTGGACGTTCTCTTCAGTCACCTCGATTTCTGCCGTGTAGATGTAGTCAATCAGCTTATTCAGTGTCCTCCCATCCACGTCCTTGATTTCTATCTTCTTGGCTTTACTCTCAGACATGTCACCTACAGTCCAAAACAAAACCAAAACGGACACGAACGTGGTGCTTAACTTTCACATAGCCCCCTGCCCTGTGTCGGCACCATAAAAGCGTCAGGAGGCGGCAGAAGGGATTTGGGCATGGAGAAGGATAAAACAGCTCACCTCAAGGGCACATCAACTTTGCGCCTGTGATCATCTGCAAACCCAAGGGTGAGCATTCCCCACACTGTCTGCTATAAACTTGTACACACAGGGCCCAGAAAAGTGAACAAGATATGCACCTGCTCTCAAGGGACTCACGGCCTAGCAGTGCAGATATATAAAAACATATGAGGTGATAAGAGCTTAATAGAGATATATACAACGTACCAGTATAACAACAACAATAAAAAGTAACATTTATTGAGTGCCAACTATGGCTAAGCAATGGGCTAAGCACTTTAAAGTGGTACCTCTTTCAATCTTGACAACAGCCTAGGAGTTTTGTTAATATTATCCCCATTTTACAGATGAAGAAACTGTGGCTCAGGAGGGTGAGTATTCATTTTGCCCACAGTCACATATCTAGGAAGGGGCCAGGCTGGGACTGAAACCAGCACGTGTGACTCCAGAGCCCACACTCTAATCGCGACCCTCCACTAAATCCCAAGAATGCAGAAGATGGAGCAACAAGCCCTGGAAGCCATCCTAGTAGGAGGTCACACTTAAGCTGGGTATTTCCATGGACAGCAAAGGTGAGGAAGGTATGAGCCAGATGCAGGAACCATAAGTTGTAAAGGCAGAAAGTGCCAGAAGATAAATTTGGGGAGGAGTGAGAGGCTGGTATGAGGTGCCAGTGAGAAGAAGCTAGAGAGGGAGACAGCAACAAGGGCTAGCAGAGCCTTGTAAGCCATGCAAATGAGTTTGGACTTGATCCTAGGAGAAGCGCCACTGAAAGGTTTTAAACAGGGGAATGACATCAACAGATGGGTATTTTTGAATGAAATTTTGGATGCACGGTGGAAGCAGGATCAGAGGCAGGGAAAACAGTTGGGAGGCCTTGATGATAATCCAACAAAGAAAGGACAGAGCCTGTGAACTAGGGCAGCAGCGGCACCACACTTGCACAGAAATGGGGCCCCTCTCCTCAGTCAGCCCTCTCTCCACAGCACATGGGTTTATCTAGAGCCAGGCTCAGCCAACAAGGGCTGCTGATTCCAGTAGGAAAAGACAGGCTAGATGTGTCTTTGTAGACCGAAATAAAGGGCAACTTGACTGCAAGAAACAGAAATTCAGAAGCCCTTATGGAAGTATGAAAACAGAGCCTGGATAGTTGTTTTCTCTCTGTGGAATTTGTGCACTGGAGCCAAGAAAATCAAGTACAGTACAGCGTGTGGGCTGCAGACGCCCACCTCCAAGCTGCATGGGCAGCACATGATTCCTGCACCAATCTACAATTCCCATCCCGACACAGTAAGAGATCTGAATGAGTTTGGAAGAGGGAGGAAAATCATTCCAAATCCTGCCCACTCCTTCCACTGCCAGACCAGGTAGACCCAAGACTCTCCACCCTGTTCTGTCTTCTCTCTGACTGCTGGGAGAAGCCAGTGATAGGGCCTCAACACAAAGAGCTTTGAGGCAGGACAAAGACGCAAAGGGAGAAGAGGAAAAGATAGTGGATTTCTACTGCACCCATTAGACAGGCTCTCACATACTTTCTCTCTTGAGTTTATTCTGAGGCACAAAAAATAAAAATCTATACCCAAGAAAATAAAAAGTTCAACTCATCTCTCTAAACAGCTATTAAGAAGTTCATCAGTAAGAGGCCAGTTGATGATTATAATGCAAACGATAATTATAGACAGCCAATTCTTAGTTTGAGAACTTGGACCTTAGAAAAAAGACTGAGAAAAAGAAACACCTGACTGTAAGAACCAAGAGATTCAGAAGCCCTTATGTGAGTGTGAAACTAGAGCCTGGCTTGATTGTTTTCTCTCTGTGGAATTTGTACTTGCGACTCAGATCAGACAGTCAGTTTTGTAACTTTGGGGTAAACAAGTGCAAACTCCTGAAATTACACGAAATTATCAGTATATATGAGCAAAAGTTTTATTTTTCTGTGGGATGAAAGATCATTCTTATTAGTCAAATGTATAGCAAACCTTAAGACACCATTTTCTTTTTTTTTTTTTTACAAATAGTTTATTGTCAAATTGGTTTCATATAACACCCAGTGCTCATCCCCACAAGTGCCCTCCTCCATGCCCATCTCCCCACTCCCCCCCACATCCATCAGTCCTCAGTTTGTTTCTCAGCATTCAAGAGTCTCTCATGGTTTGCCTCTCTCCCTTTCCCCCACCATTTCCCCCCTTCTTCTCCCCCATGGTCCTCAGTTAAGTTCCTCTTAATCCTCCTATACATGCAAACATATGATATTTGTCCTTCTCTGCCTGATTTATTTCACTAAGCATAACACCCTCAAGGTCCATCCATGTTGCTACACATGGCCAGATTTCATTCTTTCTCATTGCCATGTAGTATTCCATGGTATAGATAAACCACATCTTCTTGATCCATTCGTCCGTAGATGGACACTTAGGCTCTTTCCATGTTTTAGCTATTGTGGAGAGTGCTGCTATGAACATTGGGGTACATGTGCTCCTATGTATCAGCATTTCTGTATCCCTTGGGTAAATTCCTAGCAGTGCTATTGCTGGGTCATAGGGGAGTTCTGTTGTTAATTTTTTGAGGAATCTCCACACTATTTTCCAGAGGGGCTGCACCAGTTTGCATTCCCACCAACAGTGTAGGAGGGTGCCCGTTTGTCCACATCCTCGTCAGCATCTAGAGTTCTCTGATTTGCTCATTTTAGTCACTCTGACTGGCGTGAGGTGGTATCTCAGTGTGGTTTTGATTCGTATTTCCCTGATGAGGAGGGATGCTGAGCATCATTTCATGTGTCTGTTGGCCATCTGGATGTCCTCTTTGGAGAAGTGTCTGTTCATGTCTTCTGCCCATTTCTTCACGGGGTGGTTGTTTTTCGGGCGTGTAGTTTGGTGAGTTCCTTATAGATTCTGGATATTAACCCTTTATCTGATATGTCATTTGCAACTATCTTTTCCCATTCTGTTGTTGCCTATTAGTTTTGTGGGTTGTTTCCTTGGCTGTGCAGAAGCTTTTAATCTTGATGAGGTCCCAATCGTTTACTTTTGCTCTTGATTCCCTTACTTTTGGGGATGAAGACACCATTTTCTAGATGGTGGAACTTTGGGAGACTTTTTTCCTGCCTCCTTACATGGCTGTGAAATTTCTAATTTTCTATATTAAATATGTAAACTTCATAAGCAAGCGGGAAAACCATGTAAAATAAAAACTATGGCATCAAAAACCAAAATCTATGTTTTAAGAAAGTTCCCTTATAGGATATTCAAAACCTGTATAAATCACACAGACTTGTAAAATCCAACCTTATTACTTCTTACAAACCAGCAGAAATTACCGCACCAAACTAAGGTTCTAGGTTAAACAGACTCTGAAAGTGGTAGCAGTAATAGCTGCTACTGTGTGGTAGGACCTCTGATGAGGGTTTATACATGTTATTTCATTCAATCCTTGTAACAACCTCAGGTGGTAGATATTATTTCCATTTTACAAATTACGGAACTGGCATTTCAAAAGGTATTTACATATAGCTGTGAGAGGGCAGGTCTGGGGTTTAAATCTTGGCCTAACTCTAGACCGTGTGTCATTTCTCATAAATCCCTGTATAATTTATACCTAACCCTAACGATGACCTTGATAAAAGTATTCCCAAACAGGTCTAGGTCTGTATTCTGAGGACAACTTAGTATGTAAGACCGAGCAAGCAAGAATGGAAAGGGATGAGATCTTGTCAAGTTCATTTGCTAAGATATTCTCAACACCTAACAAAGTGCTTGGCATATAACAAGCACTTAAAAAATACTTGTTGGGAGGAGGGAGGGCGAAGGGAACAAAAGGGGATTTCCTTTGATATCTCATAATTCCATGGACTCTAGTAATTCCTGAGGGGCAGAAACCAACAAAGGCTTAGTCATTCTTGCTCCTTTCCTTACTTCTACTACTCTGACAAAATAAAACAAAACATGAGCCCTATATGTCCTTCAATTTTCAAGGTCAACCCAAGAGCCCTCCTCCTCAGCCCAACCACCTCAGACTTGAACTTTCAGAACATGTGTTAGTTGCACATCTTTTTAGCCCCTTCCACTTCTGCTTGTCATCTGTTACCATGGACGTCCTATTCCTCCAAAAAGAACATGATCCACTCAAGAGCAGATATATGTTCAATCATTCACTCATTCATTCGCTCATTCATTCATTCAACATACATGTATCAAACAGTCCCTGTATGGCAAGCATTGTGCTGGCAAATACCAGAGGACACAATGATGAATACGTTATGGCTCTGACCTCATGGAGCTCAGTCCAGTGAGAAGAGACACAAGTAAACCAACAATTATGAAATGTGTTAAATACGAAAAAAGAGGGTTCAGCTTAAAGAGTTCTTAAGCAGAGATTCCTGCACCCTGACCTGTATGCAGAATGAATAGTACACAGGAACCCCTATTTGCCACTAGGGAGAAGAGAATCCATTGTCTTCCTCAGACTGATTCATCATGGTTAAGAACCACAGATCTAAATTGAGATCTGGAGAAGGAGTCATAGTTATTTAGAAAAGGGAAGAATCAATATTCCAGGCAAAGACAGTAGTAGTGTATTTAAAGATTTGGAAGCAAGAAAGAAGAGGACCTATTTGAGCCCCCAAGAAGCTGAGTGCAGCAGAAGCACAGTAAAGAGAGGAATGGGGAGATGAGGCCAGAGATAGAAGCAGTCTGGATGAATGGAAGGCCCTGTGGTCCATGCCAAGGAATTCAATGCATCCCAAGAGCAATGGAAAACCCCTGACAGATTTTTTTTCTTTCAGTTATCAGGTTATGTTAACAAGAGCTCAGACCAAGACCAAAATATTGATTCAAAGGATACTCTATGCTGGTTCACATGGTGG